TCACTTTTTTAGTTGTTTCCAAAGCATTCTTTTTTCTTATGATATAAAAAATTAATGAAAGAAATAGGCACAAACTTGCTAGCGTGCTTACCTATTTTCGATGTACTGATTACATACGCAGTGAGTACGAAGTGCCTACATAGCGCGCAATAAGCGAAGAACTATAGCGCAACAATGGTTACTCCTTGTCCTCAAGGTACTTGCCAATTCATAGTAAGGAGAAGACAAATAAAAGGCTCGATGAAACAAGAATAAACGAGAATTTCTGTCAATACTCTTTCCTCTCGCTTGTCCGCCATTTTGTATGTTTTGAAAATGCCCATCGCCATGGTGATCATGTTATGGTTGGTGACGTAGACTATTGTTTTCGCTTCTTCCAAAACTGGCATACTCCCGAACTGTTAACTGTTTGCCTCCGTTTATTTCCGGCGGGAGTGGAACATGATTTATAGAGACGTGTACATTTACACAAAGCGTTCCAATTTCGAAACACATTTCAGTAAATCGTTTTTGTTAGTTCAAATCCATAATCTGGAATTATTAAGCTTTTAAAAAATGTATGGTTTATAGGGGTTTTTATAAAAACAACTAACGCTACAGCGATCGGCGCGCGGACGGTCCTGAAGGGTGGCTGATACCTTAAACGATTTACAGACTCTCTTTCCGCACGTTTCAAACTGTGGCACCAGAGCTGGCCCTACGTGCCTGAGTCGACCAACCGCACTTATTACGTGTGGAGGAACGCACTTTCCCCCTAGATTATAACAATGGGTGAGGTCATGGACTCGACCCTTATGCATATTAATCAAAGGAACGCACACGGAACGCAAAGGGAAGGCACTAATTAAGCAATGGAAAACGTTTTCCGTGTTTGCATAGCCTGATACTATAAACACGAGAGGGGTTGGGAGAAATCGAGACAGTTATGCAAACCCGAGACGAAGTCGAGGGTTTGCATAACTGTCGAGAATTCTCCCAACGCCTCGAGTGTTTATATCAGGCTATGCAAACACANTCCCGAACTGTTAACTGTTTGCCTCCGTTTATTTCCGGCGGGAGTGGAACATGATTTATAGAGACGTGTACATTTACACAAAGCGTTCCAATTTCGAAACACATTTCAGTAAATCGTTTTTGTTAGTTCAAATCCATAATCTGGAATTATTAAGCTTTTAAAAAATGTATGGTTTATAGGGGTTTTTATAAAAACAACTAACGCTACAGCGATCGGCGCGCGGACGGTCCTGAAGGGTGGCTGATACCTTAAACGATTTACAGACTCTCTTTCCGCACGTTTCAAACTGTGGCACCAGAGCTGGCCCTACGTGCCTGAGTCGACCAACCGCACTTATTACGTGTGGAGGAACGCACTTTCCCCCTAGATTATAACAATGGGTGAGGTCATGGACTCGACCCTTATGCATATTAATCAAAGGAACGCACACGGAACGCAAAGGGAAGGCACTAATTAAGCAATGGAAAACGTTTTCCGTGTTTGCATAGCCTGATACTATAAACACGAGAGGGGTTGGGAGAAATCGAGACAGTTATGCAAACCCGAGACGAAGTCGAGGGTTTGCATAACTGTCGAGAATTCTCCCAACGCCTCGAGTGTTTATATCAGGCTATGCAAACACAGGAAAAAAGTTTTCTATTGCTTTTATAAAATAACTTTCCCGAGAAAAAGCAAAACTCTTTGTTATGGCACTGATTAAAAGAGAAATTCTTACCAGTCGCAAAGTCGTGTACACAAAGGCTTGCACGCGTAATCAGTTCTTGTTTTGCAAAAAGATGCTTTCCAAAATACGGATTTTTCTCGCTCAAAATGTCAGCTTAAGCGAAAACAAAATTGACACAGCTTGTTTGTAAAGATGTTCCAAGTCTCAGCCGACGAAGGAATGGGTAAATAAAGTAAACTTGTCGAGTTTTGAACTCAAAAACTTTTTGAAATTTGTGCTTGCGTGATTAGCGCGCGAAAAGCAAAACATCTTGACGTCACAACCATGTTTACATACTCTCATGCAAATACTCCTCTCGGCCAATCAGAGCGCGCGTATTATCTCAGTTATTTTATAACAAGGTATTTCCCTGCTGAAGTATAACTACTAAATACTTTATAAGCGTAGGGAAACTATTATCGACTTTATGATCCTCTCTTGCTTGACTTAATGTCAGTTCCCAAGGGAAACATCGGCATTCGCTTGAACTCTTAGACTTTCACCTCAACAGCGAGAAGAAAAAAGAAGCGCGATTCAAAGCAATGTGTACCCTGCGAGCAGAGCTTTCTCTCTCTCTTGCATGGCTATTTAGCGTCGCTTGCAGACGCACAGTTTGTTTTTTTCATACGCCCCTCAGAGAAACCTCCAGCGGCGTCTAAAACAAAGCAACTACGCGACTGAAGAGCGACGCGAACGACGAAAAGCCATGCAAGAGAGAAAAGTTTGCTCGCAGGATAAGTAATGTGGGGTAACAATCAGAAAAGCTAAAACTGTCTCTCGCGCGCTGATCAATGCAGAAGTCCAAGTGACTGGGTTTTCTCTTCTCCTGTTTTTGCAGCTCGATAATAGTTAATGCATTTGGCCTAATGGCGCGTAAGTGACCTAGTGAGCTGAAACTGTAAAATGACAAGAAGAAGACAAAGTTGAAACCGGTACTAAAAATGGTTTCTTTCGGTTGAGACGGCTGGATCTGTTCCCAACCATAAGTGCCCATCCTTAATTTCCACTGCGAAACCACAAGAAAGGTTCCGTTACGGAAGATGGGAAACATGCTAAACCTAGACTTTGCTCCTGGCAAGAGATAACAATATAGAAATTCCTATCGAATTCCTAGATGTGCTACTTACTATTTTTACTAAAGTTTCTGCTGATTTCATATCTTTCCGCATTGTTTCACTCTAACCATTTTAAGCCGGACGTCACGACCAAAGGCAATATTTCAATCTTAGCTTGTGGCCATAGTAAATTAAACTACTGAGTAAAAACGCATCTTCCATCTCTTTATCCATCCACTTTGCTAGGTCGGCTAAGCCTATACACTACACTTCAACTGACAGCCGATGATTACATGAAAACTGTGGCATTATTTTTAAAACACTAACAAATGGGTTTGTCACCACGGTGGCTTGGATTATAGCCTGAGGCAACTTCTTTTCGTGGCTAGCATAGTCAACCGGTTATATTGTTTATCTTTGCTGTTCTAGAAAATGGTTTTGTCTCACCAGCAATGGTTATTCAGAGAAGAAGGATAAACCTATTACAGATTTTCAACGAATTCCAGAGCCAAGTCTTATTGAAAACTAGTGAAGATAGAGATGTTTTTCAAATGTGTCTAATAACGGTACAGATACATGCACCAAATAAGCTGCGACATGTATAGTTAAGCTGTGACTAGAAATTTAGGTTAACTATGGGTACGTTATACGAAGCATTGAAGCGTCTCACCCTTATACGATGTTGTAAAGTTCAAAAACAATCTTTTTAGTTTGAAATCGTCAAATCGATGTTACCAACTGTTGCGTCGTGTTATGTGCAAAGTGTTTTCTATCGCGGATCATTCAGTTAAACGCCTTTTATGAAAACGTGCTTACAATGATGACACAGCTTTGTAGAAATTAATTTTACGATCACGGTCATAAGCAAGAACAATTAAGGGTCCTTGAATAACCTCAATTACCATCCTGTTTTGTGAATTCACTTTACGTCATAGGTAATTAATAATCGAAAGCGAGATTACCTTTTCTGAAAAACGTTTGCGTACTCGAGCCTCGACACCCTTTAAAATCTACTGGACTTTTAATCGAGTATATGATTCAAGATGGCAATGAAGCAGATTATTCTCCTGATCACGACTTTGCTTTTGTGCGCAGAAAAGGGTAAGTCTCTATCAAGTAAACAATGAATAGACTTTTAATATCGGCAACGTAGTCTTTTTTCAACGCGACAGTAACAAAAAGTGCTCATAAAAACAACTTGCCTAAGCGACTAAAGAATAAAAGGTTAACTAGTTCAATGACAGAGTTCTTTTGGACTCGATAAGTTTCTATGCAGTTTTCATTCATAGGCCATGAGAATCAGTGTAGTTTTAGGTCTTTCCACTGATGCTAGCGAGAAAAAAATGAACAAATGTCTTAGCAACACTAACGAGTGAACAACAGGTAGTAAGTCTTCATTCAAAGCAAAGAGTCAATAAAAAATAATTAGTCAGTTTCTCAGTTTTTCTCGCCGAAAACTATGCTAAATTAGAGTATCCAAGTTATGAATATGGTCATTTTTTCGAGTCTGCTGATTTTCTTTTCGTGCTTAGACACAACAACGATTTTACAAACACTTCAAAACAACTCTTTCTTAACATACTATATTATTAATTTTATCGGTTTATAATCCCACTCACATGTATCTCAGCGATTTCGGAGTGTATTTCAAAGTAGAAGTGTATTTGAGAGTAACCTGAAAAGGGATGAAGGAGTACTAAAATCGCAGAAAAATTAGTAGATTATGCCAACACCACCAACGTTGAATTTATTGTTGACCGAGGGTTTTATTCCAAGGTTGATTAATTTACAGCTATTTGCACCTAAGCTGATCAAATGACTGCCAGGGGGGTGTGCAGATTGGTTCTTTGACAAATTATGACATGATCAGCGCCGTAGCTAGTATGAGGCCAACCGAGGCACTCGCCTCGGTAAAATTTTGACGAATTTCGCCGATCATTTTTATTTTACATAAGCGATCATCGGATATTTTTAACGCATCATGATATTACAAAGAATTCAGCAATTCAGTCAATATACTATGAAAAAATTACCATATCATCGATCTCAAGGGGCTACGTACGTTAACTCAAATTTTTTTTGAACAATTAATCATCAAAACCATTGTCGAGTTTACCGGTCACCCAGATTATGTAGCTTGTTTCTGATTATTTCTTTTTAAATTCCACTTAAATTAACTCGAAAAAAAGGTACCGAAAGGCCCAGAAACCGCTGCAAATCGGATTTCCGAGAAACTAAAGTTCAAAATTTCTCGGGGGGGGGGGAATGCCCCCGAACCCCCCTAGCAACTCCCGCCTGCCTCGGTTTGGCCGTTTGGTCTGGCTACGGCACTGATGATGATATTACTTTTACAGACGATACAGCATTTCTCGGCAGAAAAATAGCATTTTGATTAAAGAGCATGCGCTGAACCGTGAACCTCTCCCTTTAATGTTAAACTCCCAACTTCGCGTGGCTACCGTGAACACTTCATTTCGCGAAAATGGAAGAGGCATATTTTGCACGAATTTAATATCTTGATATGGGCGAGAATGATCCTGTTAAGAAGTCATTTTCGCAAATATATATACATGTATACATATATAAATTGAGCACAAATGAAGAAAGACCATTACTTTTAACATACAGATAAAAAAAACGAGCAGCTTAATCTGTTTTTCACAACGTTCAACTTAAGCCCCACTCCTTACGTCTACGACACGTCCTATATGACGTACATCCCTAAATTTACGATCGTGTGTCTACCAAAAAAAAGTATGAAGCATCTATCTCGGAATAAAACTATGAATTTCGAATCTCCAGTTGTAGCGGGATTTAAGCTTCTAGCGATTGATTGAAAAAATTAGAACCAGTAAGACCAATTTCAACATATCTAATATCATTCTTGACAACGAAGCTTGAGGTCCTTGAGGTAATAAAACAAAAAACATGTGTGGCTGCCCTCGAAAGTCGTAATTGGCATCCGAAGGAGTTTCGTTGTTATTCGCAAGAAAAAGAGAAAAACTTGAATCATCAGATCTTTCCTTTATCTCCAAATAATCTTTAACTCTTCAGTTCTTTAGTTCTTTAGATAACAACTTAGTCTGCCTTACACGATACGGATGAGCGAAGGATTACATGGATTGTAAACCTAAATCACACATGTGATAAACAAGAACATGACGGCAACTAGCACCAGTCCTAAGCAAATGGTAACAACCGCTGACCATAAATACTGAAAACTCCTTACTACAGCACTGCTGTAGTAACAACATGAATTGACTAGTACCGGCTAACCAACATAGAACATTTTCCTACAGGTGTTCCCTTTAATTGTTTCAAGTGCAGTGGTAACATGGACGAATGTAACAGCATGAAAGGTCAAACAGTTACTTGTGCAAAAAGCCAGGACAGATGCCTGAAAGTGATGATGAGCAAAGACGGCAAAGAATCTGGTTTATATGGATGTGCATCTGAACAGGACTGCATGACGGCTATCAAAACTTGTGAAGCGGTCGTGAAAAACAACGCCAGGGCAAAGTGTATGTCCCAATGCTGCAACACAACGTCTTGCAATACACCTCCACCAAAAGGTATGGTGCCTCACTTTGTTATAACATTCAAACTGAAGTTTATTGTTGTTAATAACACTATAGGATCATCTCCAGGATGACCGGTAGGTAGTAGGGTCCAATTTCGTTTTAAACTAGCCCTTTACATGTTGGTAAGTCACATATCACGAGAACGGCAACCCGGAGAACAAGCAACATTGTGGGTCTTTTGTATCCGTTTGAATGGGCTCGAAAGTCTTAACTCATTTGAACCTCAGCGAAACAACCTCATCCAGACTCGTCCAACAAGCACTTTGCTTTCTTTCACTAACTTCGTTTCTTGCTGATTTTGTATCAGGTGACTGTCACAGCAAATTTCAAAATTTATAAGAGTGTCATAGTGTGTTACAGCCACAAGGGAGCCTCGCTTTGCGTCTCTTTGAAGACCGTAGTCTCTGGAGACTGCACTTTTTCCCGAAATTAAACACTAAAACTCCACAATGTCTTGTACTTTGTTGACAGCTGATTTTATTTTTAAAGGTGGTTGGGATATGATTGTGCTGGTGAGTGTGGTCCTTAATAGGACTGTTGTTGACAGAGATTGAATTATCGACAAACCGTGTGCGGTATGTCACCTTCCGAGTAAACACTGATAGTATATTTCATTTATAATAACTTTCAGATGACAACTTGAAGTGCTTTATGTGTCAAAGCACAACTTCCATGGACGACTGCGAGCAAAACAGTAAACCTGGACGCTGCACAGAAGAACAAAACAAGTGTGGCAAGTTTACCACCGAACTGATGATACAAGGAAAGAAAGTCATGCTGTACCGAAAGGGATGCCAAACCGAAATGACCTGTAACAAGGAATATGATTTGTACGGCCAGGCCTGTGGGTCTGACGACACCTGCGATTTTAAGTGCTGTGAAGGAGATTTGTGTAATGCTGGCTCATTTGCTTTTGTCAGCGTTGTCTCCCTCTTCACATGCACCTTACTGTCTTTTCTTTACAACTAGGACAATTCTGTATGGTAGCACCAACGGTTATGTGACAGCTGCAGGATATTTACAGGCAATCGTATGAAAGAATAATCCAACTCAGCACATTTGTATAGTAGTTAAGAAACATGTTTTTGCGGAAGAAATTACTGAAAGAAATGTAGGTTTAGCTACAGAAAAAAAGCACCACTTAATGGCTGGTAAACGTTTTCTAGATGTTTATTTTCTTCGTAATTTTTGTTAAGTTATCCACAAAAACGAGAACAAGAAGTAAAGCAAAATTAACTACATTAGAGTAGATTTTACAGCTATTTTAGCTTTTAAGTCTTAGATGTCAAATAAAGCTAGTCATTCTGAATATGTAGGGATGCCTTTCAAGAAGCAAAGTAAATCCAAGGGGGGTAGGCTCACCCAGTAGACCCAGTGCGAGGGCCCGGATCCCCTCCTCTCCACCCATAAGGCTATAGGAAATTATTTCATACATTAACTCGTTGGTTTTTACTTCTGGAAGTGCGTCTACTAAGATCTACGAAGTAATGTTTGAGGAAGACCATCTCTTTTTCTTAAAGTAAAAGTAGAAAAACTTTGCTGGTTTATTCATTTTGTTAAAATTGAGAATTTTTGTTCCAATTGTGATCAATAAATTCTTGGTAATCTCATATTTTGTGTTGTCCCTCGTTCTATTAGTGCTGGCGGTGTTATGTTCTCAATGAAAAAAGGTCACACGCGATAGGTTTTGCGTAAATAACCAAGTAAAACAACTTTTTTAGCTCCAGCACACACACCAAAACTATTTTTTAAAGTATTACCGTGATATCTTCTATTGACGTCATTCTTCCATGCTTTTTTTCCATTATGGGACGGCTGACGTAAAACCTATTTTCTTGAAAGGTAGTTACGCAGCACGTTCTGAAAATGAACCGGAAGATTAAAGCCAGGAAAATAAGAAATGGAGAATGAATATGAAAACAATAATTCGCCAGAGTTTCTGTGATTAACCGCCGAGAACTCCAGAAGACGTTGAAAACCATACCTTTTTTCACCACACAAAAATACTCCCTTTCAGGATGAGTGTAACATCATTCTTCACGTTATGTGAATACATCAACACCATTTCAACAGTTCACATTATGTTATTGCCTGGTCAAAAGCTTTCTTCTTCGTATCCGCTTTTAAAATTTGTTTACGTCACCAGTCAGTTACGCCATTCCATTGTGGGGCACCACCTTCTAAGAAAAATCCTAGATCCACCCCTGCGTCAGTCCTTTAATGTCGTGAAGTGTGTCGTGTGATATTTGCATTCCTTCCCCATCCCGTTTGCTCATTTCCTTGGTCCGGTTACTTACTTTGACCTCTTTTATGATAACCCTAGAAGGTTTGAGTAATCGGAATCAACTGTATATAAAACAACCATTTCACGTTCCAGCTACGTGGACGAACAAAACAATCCGAGTTGAAAAGGTAACAAATCAGATACTCGACTCTGATAGTTTTGGATTCGTTTACGTAAGCAAAAACGAGCGCAGCGCCATTTTAAGCCTGAGACAGAAAGCCCCTTGCACTTTCCCGGTTTAAAGGCAGCAAGTATTTATCCGAGACGTGCATTGTTTTGAAGCTGAAATGGCCGTTAACTGTTTTCGTATGCTGCTAAATAATCACTCCAAATTTAAATGGAATCTTTCTGCCGTTATGGTTTTCAGCTTTATCGGGAAAACAAGCATGAAAAGTGTGCAAGTATTTCTATTTGTTTTGTGGCTGTAACGGGCAGTTATTTTCCACTTGTGGTTGAAAAGGGTGTAAAAACGTGTATTGTGACCATACAACTTAAAGCTTATTGAACAGTCTTAAAAGGTAGCATTCAGTCCAGCCTCTTTCTTGATTCTTTAAGTGTTTGAGGAAGAGGAATACATCATGGGTTAAAAAACTACATAATTATCAATTAAGTGTTTTTTGCCTTGTCATAACTAACAGAGCGAGAAGCACTCACATACCGCCAATTGAAAAGGAGGGGTGCCGAACTGTTGTGTAAACGTGAGTTTGGAACGTCGGGTCACGAACATTACAACCTACACTTTATTTTGAAAATGATGAAGCAAATGGTCTTCTTCGCGTTTACGCTGCTTGGTTTAGTACAACAAGGTAAGTACCTCAAAACCCGAAACGGTTCTGTGGGTTAAAAAAGCCGCATCAGCCTTTATGGAACTTCGATGCTTGGTTTAAACCGGCAAATGCGAATAGTGCGCTTGCTTATATTCTATCGTGTTCATGGTCAACAAATAGGTTTCTAGCTCATCAGATGAATAATTCCATAAACAATAGTATAGGGAAGAAGAAATGAAATGTTCACTAAAGCTAATAATTATTCAGGTGATTGAGCAGTCTGCGACTGTTGAATGTCTTTCTACTCATACACTCGATTAAAAACGATCGGCTTTCAAAGGGTGGATTTGAAAATAAGTTTTCATTTTAGTCAAAAATAAAAAGGGGAAATAAGCAAAAAAACTATATAAAAGAATGCCGGATCTCAGAACAGTAAAAACCCGCCACTAAGAACCTGCATTTTCCTAAGTTAGCCGACTAAACAGGTTCCTAGATAAATGGTAATTAGCACAAATTTAGGTTCTGAAACAGGTACTTATTTTCTGAAGAAAAATACATTGTAGCCTAGAGCATTTAGTGGTATTCAGCTCAATCCCTAAATAAAATCCGCATACCATCACATTGTAGTTGGAGTGATAGGCCGCATATGTCTCCAAAAGGATCTTGAACGTTGACTTTAATATATTATTTGCCCAATTCAACAGAAATGTTTCTTATAGATTCTTGAAAATAAGAACTTGTTTTAAATTTTAGGCTAAAAGGGTTCTTATATAAAGGTGGGCCTAACTGGCAAATTTTAGCCTTACAGGGGCCAGTTTTTTACTGTATTACAAGTTTAGCGGAAAGTAAGGAAGTAGCTTACGTAGTTGCGTAATGATCAAAAGGAGGTCTTCCTTTTGTGGTTACACTGTGAGGAACTGTTACCGTAAGGTTTCCTTCAATTTAAAAATGCTCTACATTCGGTTTAAATAAACAAATAAATAAATAAGTCAAAATAAAAAGGGCACCGAAGCTCTAAGGCTTTGAATTGTTAGTACTGACAACAAGTTCTACACGAACAACAGCATTTTGCAATGGAATGGACGAACTAAAATGCCTTAGCAATACTGTTATGAGCCACTTTCACTCTCAACTTGGTTATACAGACTGAACCAACGAGACAACTTGGGAACACTTTGTTTTTATTAGTCAGTGATTTTACTTGAACCTTGAAACAGATACTAACAAATAGTGCAAAAAAGCAAGAAGTACACAAAAGAAGACAATGGAATAAGTACGTAATAGTGCGTAGCATTCTGGCTACTACCTGTTTCACGGGTTAAGTAAAATCACTCCAACAGCGACGGAAATCGAGCCAAAGGCAAAAATTGACATTTCGATCTGTGCGTTTTTGTCAGAGTGGACGTTTCTTCAGGGATATTAGGGAGCTTAAGCAACGACGACGAGAAGGCAACGGCAAAAAAGCAAAGGTTTAGATTAGCATAACAACAATATTGCACCTACTTCACGATTTTTCGTTCATTTGTTACCCGTCGTTACACGGTCACAACCTAAAATTTCACGTTTTGTCGAAGACGGGAAAACAAGACAACATCTTTCTTTTTCTTTTCCTGAACTTTCATACAGTCATTTAGAATTCCACTCTAAAAAAAAAAGCCAGCAATTGACGAATTCAACGAGATGGAATAAGCGCGATAAAGTTTGAGGCAGCGCGAATTCACTTTTTAAGTGACGTTTTCGTAGCCGTCGTTGTTGCTTAAGTTCCCTATTATACAGAAGCAAATTACGAGAGCCAAGGTGAAAATTGACACTCGCAAGGAAGGATAATAGGAAATTACTCGTAGTCTTCAAAGAACCTTGTGAAGTGCTCAAAGTTTAATTGACCTATATACAGTGACAGTCTGCCCCCCCCCTTAAATCTTGCTCGACCTACTGTTTGCAAATGCTACAATAACGTACGCAGGGGGGGGGGAGGGAGGGAAACAGACTGTACCATGAAGGATTCAAATATAGTCAGTAGGGCTTGTTTGGATGCACATGACTGCTAACAGCTCAAAATATTACGACTCATGATGACTTCAACGTCCATTTTTCTTCCAAACGCAGGATGGTCTCTTCAATGTCATATGTGCACAGGGGACATCGAGACATGCAACGAAGTAACCGCAAAAAGAATGAATTGCTCCAGCGGAAAGGATTACTGTGCCTCCGTGGTGACGAATACTGACCCTGGCGTCAACTTCCTGTTTGGTTGCGCAAGCAGATTGGACTGCGAAGCAGCCCGGGCTTCCTGCAATGCAAAAATGAAAAAGTATCCAGGGATAACGTGTAATGCCACTTGCTGTGGCTCTGATTTTTGCGTGAAGCCTTACCCTGAAAGTTAGTTGATATTACCTAACAAAAAAGCCCGTTCCAAAAACCTCCAGAACAATGACAAACCGCTGGGGACGTTTCGCGTGGAGGAAAGTCTGCGTCTCAGCGACAGAAATTCCATACTGATGACGTAAATCAATGTTTACATAATAAATCCGGTAGTCATGGGGTTCCAAATGCAAAATTTTACGTTTCTCCTGGTCGATTTTGGCAAAGTTTTGTTTCATCTGCGAACGAGCTCCAGCAAATCTCAAATGCCTCTTCTAGAAAAGACTATATTCCACAAATACTGACTGTTTTGTTAGAGATTTATTGCGTTTACATTTGCCCTTTGCGGCCTTCTGTCTGTCATTAGTAAACAATAGCTAAAACAATGTAACTACTCCGTCTACCAATCAGCGCTTCTGACCGAATTCCGGACAGATTTTACGTCATCAGTATGGAATTTCTGTCGCTGAGTAGCAGACGTTTCTCCTCGCGAAACGTCTCCAGCGGCGAGGAACGAGTGGAAACAGCTGTTTTCGCAGGATATGACAGACATGTAATGATTCTGAACTTGTGACCAAGAACCGTTCCTACAATAGGTTTTGGACATGTTAAAATATTATCTTGTTGCATTGTGCAAAACAAATGTTTCGATTTTGATTTTCCCCATGCCTTTGACGTCGTAATGGGGAAACAACAAACTGCTAAACATGATTTAACGCCTTTGAAACAAAAAATAGGTTTTCTTGCTCTAGTGTGCGGATCAAGTGACGATACCAAAAGGAATATTCTCTTGTAAAATTGAGGATATCCATTATAACGTCTATGCATCTCAGGTTGTATTTCAAATACATCAGAAGATCCAATCTCCCATGTTAATTCATGTAATTCATATTCAGAAAAAGACTAATCAAACGCGCCAGTGGTGAAGTTTTAAGGAATGGCATGTATTATTAATTTTTTTCAGACTACAATCCGCTACAATGTTACGAATGCCATTCAATGACAGACTGCAGTGAAACGGCCAAAGCAAAACGGTGCAGCTCTGGCGAAGATCGTTGCATGAAAGTTATGACGGAAGTGGCATACAAGGATTCCAATTTGGTTTACAAGACATATAGAAAGGGGTGTGCTACCATGGACCAGTGCACAAACATGAAGAAAAACGTCTTCTACAGCGACTGCACAGACGGGGACAAGTGTCATATGAGTTGCTGTGAAGGAGAGCTGTGCAACGCGGGTTCCAGTTTTGTGGTCAGCGCTTTCACTTTGTTGGCATGCGCAGTATTTACAGTGTTTCGTCTGCGATAGAACAAGAAGAGAATCTTGGACGATGTAGCTTTGCTTAACATTAACACCAAACCACCATTTGTTCAATTGAAGTTAGTTTTGTATTAGACCTTTAGAAGATCGTTTCCGTGAATTATACTGCCGTACAAGCATTGTTTTTAACATTTCCTCTGTTGTATCAAAACTTTGAAATAAAACAAGCCTGTAGATAAATTGTTTCAACCAAGAAACTGATAATAACTGGTAAAAATTGATACAACTGCCGTTAAGACGACTTCTTTTACAGTCCATAAAGAATAAACACACGACTTAACTAACGATTTTCCGTCCTCGAAGTTTAAAGCAGTTGGCGAGATTGTCAACATGTGCTAGATGGAATTGACATTCGACATACAAAGTGATACACGAAACTGGAAAAATGAGCAATACTGTGAACAAAAATAGTAAATGTTTAATCAATCAAACGAACAGACAGGCACTTATGTTGTTTTGGCGCAAAACAGGTGCTCTCGAGGTTACAGAAACTGAACTAAGAATACTCTTTTTTTACTGTACTGAAGTTAAAAACAAACATGCTACTTTTAAAGGGGAACTGATAGACCCTTCCACGGTTTTTTCGACTTTTGACTGGGACCAGCGAGTGTAAAATTTCACGGCTTGGTGGAGCTTTATCTTCGACCGCTTTTATCGTATCATCTTTAACCCTGTTAAGTTTCCGAATTTTTAGGCGCTCTTTCCAGGAGTACCGATGGATACTTGCTAACTAGTACTTATCACTGAAAAACATGAAAATAATAAAAAAAAAGAACCATACTAGAGAAATAAGGTTAAACTCGCGCTTCCGTTCTTCACTAGTATGGGATCAAAAATTACTAAATTGTTCTGTTTTTCGAAGCTGGTTTGTATACTTGGTTTTTGGGTTGAGGTTCGCCACGGGATTCAACGAAAGTGAAAAATGAACATGCAGGGTTTTACAGCAGAGTACAACCTCGTCCCCAGGGCGCTTTTCCCTGGCTGTGGAGGTGGCACCTCCAAAGCCAGGGAAAAGCGCCCTGGGGACGAGGTTGAACAGAAAACAGGAAACGTTTCTTACCTCCCTTGTTCGCTTTCAGGAGCTGCGTCCAAGGTGAGCCATCCTCGGAGACCCAGGGGCAGATAGTGGGGACGAGGGAAGGTCTAAACGGGCGGAAAAATATATATGGAACGAAGAAAAGTAAAGAACGACGAGAAGAGCCCCTGGGGACAATGTCTTACCAGACCAGTTCCAAACGGTCGTCGCCGTTCTGGCTTCTGATTGGTGCCAGAAAAACACAAAGTTTTCTGGCACCAATCAGAAGCCAGAACGGCGGCGACCGTTTGGAACTGGTCTGGTAAGACCTTGTCCCCAGGGGCTACTATCTGCCCCTGGGTCTCCGAGGATGAAGGTGAGCCCGAGTAATTATTACAGTTTTTGTCTCGTTTTAGTTTTGTCGTAAAGTTCACGTCAGACATTTCATATACACAAGCTTAAATTAATTTTCTGGTTGCAAATGGAAAGAGGAAGGCTTTAGAGAATACCGGGTTGTAGTGGTTGTCGGTAAAAATTTAGCGACAGTCTTGCTTCGAGGCTCGTTCATTGTTACCATTCCAAGCAATAATATATAACAATTATTCACCGAAGTGGAGGTGGCTAGTATTGGATATTTACCGATGCCGCGAAAGCGGCGAGGTAAATATCCAATACTAGCCACCGACACTGAGGTGAATAATTGTTTTAGTATATGCTAAAACAGTGACATAATAAGCCTAAAATGATCTCAAATGACGATTTTTAATTCGTTTATTTACAACTTTGGCGCGCAAATTAAACAAACATGCGCGCAGCTCAAAATAGTCACATGACACATCTGATGATGAAATATTCATAATTTTGTGTTAAGACTTTACAACCGTAAATGAAAGATCAAGCTATTTGAAAGGAAAAGTCCTGGCTTTACGCCATCTTCGTAGATTGTTCTTTTCGTTGTCTGTTACAAGTTTTATTTGCTGCTGCTTCCTCCAAAGCTCACATTAAAGTTGAGATTACAGTTATGGAACGTGGCTCCGGGAATGAAGCCATGGACAAGATTCTGTGATCCATCTTGAATGGACTGGAAGGAATAATTTTCAGTGCTCGTAGCTACTGATTGCGGCTGGCTCGATGACGACGCAACGGTTTTCTGAGGGACTGTAACAGCCTTGTCATCGCCACCAGATGGATCGAAGAATTCACTTAGCTCGTTTGACATTCTTTTAAACTGCTCGAATGTCGGCGTATCACAATAGCTCTTGATGCTTTCTTCACTTTGGTGGCCGGTTATTGCCCTGATATACCGACTCTCGATGTTTGCAGCTGACAAAACCGTCACGGTGGTCGCTCTGATCGAGTGGTTTGTTAGATGTGGCTTTATTCCAGCTCTTGATGTCATACTTCGTAGCATATTTTCAAGCGTGTTGTGGCCAAGTGGACTCGTGCAGTACCACACAAGATCCGTTGCTGGGTTAAACGCTTTGCACGGGCTTCTTGCTTTCCGGAATAAACTGCTGCATTTGGGACTCAGATGTGACAGGTTTTTCTCGATGAGTTTCACTGGGCAGCGTTTTGAGCCTGTTCTTTCAAATATTTTTCCGTTTGACTTATCTTCTTTATCATCTAGGCCACCTTGATGGTTTTTAGTCGCCAACACTGCTCCGCGCTCTTTGTTTATTTCGAGATATTTTTCACCATTTGGCGCTTCCCTTGAGATAAGCATGTGTTTCTTAAGCAGCTGCTGGTTTTCTCGACCTCTCTTTCCGAGGAATAAACTGATGAAGAACCAGGCCGTCTGCTGTACTTTGTGTGGTTGGAGAGAATCGATGTCAACAAGCTCGCCTTTCTTCGTAAAGTTTCTCAACAATTTCCTTTGTTAGGGCTTGTTTGTGCACTGTCGGAGCTATTTGGCCACTTTTGCTCAGAGTTTTCAGAAAATTGCTGAGAGATTTATTGGCTTCATTAAAATGACTGTCGCCAACAATGGAAAATGGCTTTGAAAACGGAGGACTTTTCAAGTGACGATCTAAAGCGGCTCGGATTGCGATAAGCGACTTTTTGTTGTAGTAACTGCCGTCACGTTTTCGTGCGGACAAGTAAAATTTTTGGAGGCATTTGTTAAGCTGAATTGGTGACATCTCCTCAAAGGGAGTTTTGAACTCTTCTTGCATCTGAAACCATTCTGTAAAAAAAGCAAGCACTTAGCTTATTTATAAACATGTCAGCTAACATTAAGTAACGAAAGACATAATTTGCATTTGTAAACAAAAAACTTTTTCACCGGTTTCATCGACAAAATTCAGGTTAAACAGACAAAGCTTTACCTGTGAAAAATGCTAGACCGAATTTAGTCGCTTTTTTAGTGTTGTCTGGTATGGCCTCTTCATTTATTTTCGAAATTTCGTCGCTAGTTACCGTGGCAAACCGAGACTGAGCCATTTTTGTCGTACATGTAACTTGCAAGAGTTTGGCGCCGCACGGCTGGAGGCGAATCAGTGAATAGTGCAGGATATTCCGAGATTGAGCAACCAATCAGAGCACGCGAAAAACACTATCCACTGTTTTAGCATATACTAAATACATGCATCAGGAGTTCTGGACTTCCCGTTGGATCGCACGGCATTGTGGGTAGGCGGGCTCAGAAAAGTGGGCATCAACTTGCAGCTTCGCCATATTGGATTACACGTGCAGGAATATAGAAAATACAGTTGGACTGAGATAAGTGGGCATCAAATCCTTGTTTGGTCGCCATCTCTGCTTGTTTGAAGTTGTTTCGCTTGATTTATTACCCTTTGTATTCACAATCGAATCGAAACGGGACTCACTTACAGAAACTCCAGTGACAAGGCCAAAACAGGTAAGGAGTCGTATTTCTGTTCTGTTTTGTTTTTATCTCCTAACTAAATAAATGGACAGAAGTCGGAGCAGAGGTGAAGCTCTGATAATTGAATACGTTTTAACTTTTTATTTATTTTGTTATAATGTAGGTGTGATATGAGTCGTGAAGAGCTGCCTTTCGAGGTTATCCAGACATGGAAACCTGAGCAACTGAAAGAGTTCTGTCGCAAGCGGGACTTGAAGGTTTCAGGAACCAAAGCTGAACTTGTAGCCCGCGTATTTGCCGCGGCAGAAATGGGCATTTCCATCAAGCCAACTGCTCTGGAACGAATTGCTACTACCGAAAAAGAGAAGGCAAAATTACTCATAATGCCAAACGGGACCTCAGTTCCAGATCCTTTGACACTGAAGGATGGCTGGGTGAAGGAAAGCGAGAACATGACTTCTTGGCCGCCGATATACCTGAGTGATATAACATTGTTTTTGATGAGTGATCACCCAGGGAAGGATGTTGACTTCCACAAACGCGTCCTAAATGAATACAAAGAAGGGAAGGCGTATCGTTTGTTTGACTCTGGCTGGTTGAAAGAGATATCATATCATAAAATCACGGATGACTCGGAATATTGCTTTTTAAAAGCAAAATGCACTCATTCCATGAAAATATCGGATACACCGCATTCTGCATGGATTTGTGCGAACAAGAATAATGGCTTTATAGTCAATGCCTACTGTACATGTGTTGCTGGGTTTGTATTACCAAGACAGATAAAAGTGAACATAAATTAGTATTAATTTGTAGGGTCAAACCCTATTTTTCATCTCATTTCATAGTTTCATGTTACTGGTGTGATGGTGCTATATGGTGGTAGGGACTCAACCATGGAATTAAAAAGGGTACAAGCTCCTTGAAACTAAGAGAGAGTCATGGTATAGTATAAACCAACTAGTGGTCTATTACAAATCCTTCATTCTGATTGAGTGAGCAACTAATGGCCTATTAATGATAGGCCGTGCCTGGCAAAACCACCTGCTTTCTTGCAATTTGATTTTTTTTCAACACAAAATAATGGTATCCACACTCACAAAACAGATTAACTTGTTGGTCTATACTAAAACAATTAGAATTTGCATCTTTTTGTGGTATTGGCCTCTGGCCCTGTGGTGCATTTGTCATATAGCACATTCTGACTTGAGGTCTAATTATTAAATAATTGGGAGATGAATTTCACAAAACTAGGAGCAGGGCAATATTATTCTTGAGCCCCCCAACAGTGTTGAGGTTTTTAGATGCTACATGATTATTTTCATTCCCTTTTTTATAATTTCAGAATGAGCAGCTCTTGTATTCACATCACAGCATTGCTGTTTAGAGTTGAGGCTGCTAATAGAAGTGGAATGACCAACCCAGCTTGCACATCAAGACAATGTGTGTGGAATGTCCCATCAGAAAAGACAGTTATCAAGCCAACAAAGATTGCTGACATGAATTGGAAGTCATCAAAACTAAATAAAGGTAACTAAGTAAGATATAGTAAACATAGGACATAGGAATCACTGCTATTGGAGAAATGCTGAAAAATGAATATGCTAAACTATTTTGCAAACAAGGCTGAACTTCATTCATGCAGCATCACGATACAGTGTCCCTGTAATATTACCACAAAATGTAGCAACCTCTGAGCCTATGATTACCTCATGATTTGATCAGCTTTGTTTTTGTTTTCTTAAGAACCTACCAGACCAACTGTAGACAGCAGGCGTAGCCTCTTTCAGCCGGTAGAAAAAAAGAGGGCTCTGGATGACAGTGAGAGAAGGAGAAGTTTCTACGAGAATTTAAAGGATACATTTCCAGACTCCTGTTTTGTGTTGATGGGTCAAGCTGAATGCACACCAGAGCCACTACAACCAATATCCACTCCTAGAGAAAGTGACATACTCTCCAGTGATGAAATTGATGCTATAGAGGAAATAACTGTTGGTCCGACTGAAAATGAGGCTTGGCACCAGCAAAGGGAGGGCAGAATAACTGCCTCAAATGTTTACAGGGCATTGACTAAAGTAGAATCAGTGAGTCAAGCTGAATGCACACCAGAGCCACTGCAGCCAATATCTACTCCTAGAGAAAGTAACATACTCTCCAGTGATGAAATTGATGCTATAGAGAAAATAACTGTTGGCCAGGCTGGTAATGAGGCTTGGCACCAGCAAAGGGAGGGCAGAATAACTGCCTCAAACTTTTATAGAGTATTCACTAAAGTAGAATCAATGAAAGTCAATGAAGAAAATAGTGCCGATAAACTTGTTGATAGCTTATTGGGAAAAGCTAAACCACCTACAAATTTACCAGCTCTTAAATATGGCAGAGATATGGAGCCCATTGCAGTTAAGGAATTCATCAAATACTTCAAAAAACACCACAAGGATGTTAGGTATAGAGAATGTGGTATCTTTATTGATAAAACTAAACAGTACTTGGGAGCATCCCCAGACTTACTGATAGAGTGCTCTTGTTGTGGGGAAGCAGTAGTAGAGATCAAGAACCCTTTTAGCATTGCCAATGAAATTCCCTCAGCAGATAATCTGTCATACTTATGTATGTGTAATGGACAAGTAGCTTTAAAGCAGCAGCATCAGTACTTTGCACAGGTCCAGGGTGAGATGGCCATAACAAAGAGGCAATTGGGCTATTTCTTTGTATACACACAAAAGGGCTATCACTTGGAAACAATCAGATTTAATGCCACATACTGGCATAGGCTTGAAGAAAATCTAACCTGGTTTTATAGTAATTGTCTTTCACCAGCCCTGAAACTACTGCGAAAATAAATTGTTTAAAAAAATACCTAGAAAATGGATCTGACTGATTATATAAACAGGCAATCATATTTCCATGGAGCCTGCACAATATAATTGAACAACTACATGTATTATTGTATTAGTGATTGCTTTATTTGATCCTTGATATCTAATGTCAAAAGTATAAAACATTCATCAAGTTGTTAATAAAAAAATTGCTTCCTACACTGATTACACTGGTCTTATTAAGACATCAACATAAATTTTGTATCACTGGGGTAGCCAGGGTTTTGTCAAAAGGGCTCAAAGGGGCCCAAGGCTTAAAAGGGAGAGGACCGAGCTTTTTTTGGACTTGATTGTCCCATATATTTACTATATATTACTTTTCAGAGAGGTGGGCCAGGCCCTTTAGTCCCCCCCTGGCTAAGCCCCTGTTTATGCATATTTGTGGTAATGTCATCCTACCAGTGCAAGGAAATCAGTTTCACTAAACCTGTGAACATACTATTGGTATCTTGAATTGTGTTATTCCAGAAGAGGCAGAAAAAGCCCATACCCAAACCATGGAGGGAATTATTTTTCAAACGATCCCCCAACCCCTAAGGAATTTCCAAATGAAAAGTGCAGTAGTGTTTTTTATGGATGTTTATCTCCTATAAAACAGGTGGCAAATTGACCCCCCCCCCCCCTGGAATTTCCAATTTCCCTCCATAGTGGGGGTATGGATTTTCTTGTGAATTACACATTTGACTCTATATCTTGTTCCAAAAATAACGTGTTACTTGCAAAGAGGCTTGTACAAATTGCATAATGCAGTACAGACAATAATAATGTTATCAAGATTACCAATAAGAGAGATGGGCAGTTCGTTCTTGATTATACGGAATGTTTTCAGCCGCCTGATGGCCTGTTCTACAAAAATGCGTAGATTAGCTATTTTTTTAGTTTTCTGTACATCAGCTTTCGTGAACTGTTCTTGTCCACGTTTCCCTGGCGGAATAAAAAGGTCAGCTCTGTGAAGCAGAAGATCCTCTGCAATAGTGAATCCACGATCTGCCATTACTGCATCATATGGCTCAAGTATGTTGTAAAACTCTGATTCCCTTGTCAAATGGACATCTGAGGTGCGCCCACCCCATGCCTCGGAGATGAAGTTGAAGGCCCCATTTGGGGTGATTGAAACTAGGATTTTT